ACACGACACGACACGACACGACACGACACAACACAACACAACACGACACAAAGCAATGCAATACAAAATTTGTTAAATTTAAAGCACCCTAACGTTACCATAGGAGTAAAATGCAGTAAAAGTCCCTTAATTACCTTCGAAGTTTGTAGATAATGAACACAACTATTATAATCAAAATGACCAGTACAATGCCCATGATGATGATGACTGACATCGCTTCGGCTGGCATTGAAATGGATTTCTCTGGAAAAAGAAATGCTAGTTTAGTAATGAAAATGTACAACCATGGTTCTGTATCGACGGAATGACATAATCCACTGTCATTAATGATTTAATAGTTAACGATTTATCATCAATAAGGCGCCCTGTGATCTGAAAATGTCGTGTTTCGGTGCGATGAATAAATGTCATTAAAAAACTGAATGAGAGCACATCTTAATCATTTGTTCAAATACATCAAATAAAAGATGGGGGTCACCAATATAAGACTGAAGAGGTTTGCTCGAGTATCTTTCTMATCAAAACATTGGAATGATAATATCCTCATCAGGATAAGGTTGGGCGACCTAAATTCATACGTAGAAAGTATGCGCGCGAACGATTCCCACAAACGCCCTTACAGCCATTCTCGATCACACGCGCCCTCTAGCGATTGTTTCTATCGCGACGAAAAAGCTTTTGGTGGACGTCAATCAAGGCGTTTCCATGACATTCTATAGGCACGTGCCCTTATAGCTTTGTGTTTCCGAAATGTTATGGAAACGCCTTGTGATTGACGTCCACCAAACCTTAACCTTCTTCGTCGCGACAGAAACAATTCTAGAGGGTGCGTGTGATTGAGAATGGCTGTAACTGTTATTCATATTTAGTGACCTTCCCTTAYAAACATAATTATTCTGCTAATCAGCTCACCTTTTGCGGGCGTGTCTGTTTTAGTTGCGGTTTCTACTGATATTCGTACTGTAGTCGTTCCACTAAGGGGGGGTTCACCTCTATCCGTTGCCGTCACAACCATCGTGTAGTTACACCCTCTTTTTAGCTCTTGCTTGTTGTGAATGCTTCCATTGGAATCGATTCTGAAGGCGATTCCTTCACACCCCTCAGTGCTGTTCAACAACTCTACAGTGTAATCAAAAAGCGAATTGTTTCCGATATCTTTATCTGTAGCCATTACTGTCACCAACGTCTGATCCTCGTCCACCGACGACGGAAACGGAGGGGGATTATAATCCGATTTTTCGAATATTGGTGGGTTGTCATTAACATCTGTTACTATGACAACGACGTCGACATAAGACGCGAGAGGAGGGGACCCACCGTCTTTGGCTACAATTACTAACCGGAGGGATTCCTCACTAAGAATGTCACGATCAATTTGGTTGGTTAACGTGACCACACCACTAGTCTTATTGATGTCAAACGTCTGGTTAACTAGAGGTGACGAACACGTATAATCAAGTGCGTAGGTTATCTGCGCGTTGGATCCGCTATCTCGATCAGAGGCATGTACTTGAAGCATGTTGTAACCGCTTCGTGTGTTCTCTGGAATACTGGCTTGGTAGCTGGTCTTATTGAATTGTGGGGGGTGGTCGTTGTCGTCTTCTACATTGATGACCACAGAACACACTGCACGAGGCATAAGAGACGGAGAATCTCTATCGTATGCCTCGACTGATAGGTTATATTGAGACACATTCTCTCGGTCTAAGGGCTTTACTAACCTAATAATTCCTGCGTTACTAATAGAGAACACTTCTTTATCACCACTAGTGATATTATAAACTACATTGCTGTGGACTTCTGAGTCTTTATCCTCAGTACGGACAAACAGAATGTCAGTTCCCACTAGAGTTGACTCGGTGATATCAACGCTGTAACTTTTAGAAATAAATACTGGAGGATTGTCATTGCCATCCAGTATCGATACCAATACTAAAGCAGCACCAAAACGAGGCGGTGATCCTTGGTCTGTTGCTAGGACAACGAAACTGAAAGTCTTATTGACTTCGTAGTCAGGACTTTGGAGAAGAATGATTTCACCGGTGGTCTTGTCGACTGAAAAGATCTGTCGCATTTGGACGTCTTGAATGGAATAGATGATTCTTCCATTGTTACCTTCTTCGCTATCACTGGCGTTTACCCGACCCACTGAGGTATTGACCGGTGAATTTTCAGCAATCGCGAAGGAGTAGGTGGAGCGCGAAAATACTGGGTCTATATCGTTAGTATCCGCGACAATAATGGTGACGTAGGTTGAAGTATTTAAAGATGGATTTCCCATATCACGTGCCGATATGGTTAGATCGTAGCGCTTGCGGTGTTCATAATCTAGAGACTTGTTTACAATTATTAAACCTTGTGAATTTATGGCAAATTCACCTCCATTATTACCACTCTCTATGGCGTACTGAATGTTTCCATTGCTACCGCTGTCCTTGTCGCTTGCAGTCACATATACTACTGCTGCTCCAATCCAGGCCCCCTCAGGAACGCTAGTCGAGTAGTTTTGGGAAGTAAAGACTGGATAATTGTCATTGAGATCGAGAATACGAACAGTTACAAGAACAACACTAAACTGGCGAGTGTTAGTATTCGTAGCCATTAAGCTTAGCACGTAGGTATGTCTTAGCTCATAGTCCAAGGGGGAGGTGAAGAAGAGAGTTGTGACGTTAGTGGAGACAGAAGGACTGATCTTGAAGGTATTATTGACGTTTCCTGAAGAAGAGAAAAATAATGAGGTTGTATTTGAAATCAGGGAGCAATCCTAGAAGGACGAATCGAGGGGAGAGGTGCAGGGGGATGAGCTAAATGAGCTGATATATTCTGCATTATTGGGGTTTGAGTTTGTAAGCAAAGGTTGCAAACCCCCCCCGAACGAAAATCCTACATGGTGCACCCCCCCCCGTCCTGGGAAAATCCTGGAACCCCCCCCCCCTGCCGTAGGAAGCGATGTTTACTTTACCTGCGATGATCGTGAATGATACGTTAGCTCGATCATTGTTAGTGGTCATAGCAGTGGCGTGTAAATCAAGAAGTCTCTGATTCGAAATAAKGGTTTCGTTGACTGACACATTAAAATGACTCTGTGAGAAGACGGGACTTGACGCTGTAAAGAAATGGGTTAGAAATGTCAGAGCAAAAGCAGTGTTTTGTTGGTTTCGTCTAATGATTAATAAGTGAGCGCGATTTCAGGGTTGAAAATTTGGCCATACTATTTGGGCTGAACTGGTTCTATCTTCCTTATATCAAGTTTGACAAGTTGACCAAGACCAGCCGGTTGGAACCTACAATCTTCGCATTGTGATTATCACAGTGCTATTGTTATCAATCAGCTGGATGAATCTCATTACAAGCCTTCAGTGAAGAGAAAACACTGCCTTTCATGTGCTATCAACCAGAAAGTGTTCTATTGCTTGGTATAAATCATCTGAATGAATCACATAAATGTAATTACCACCCTGCAGTGAAGGGCAAACACTGCCTGTCATGTGCTATCAACCAGAGAGTATTCTATTGCTTTGTACCAGCTGAATGAATCTCATAAATSTAATTACCAGCCTGCAGTGGAGGGCAAACACTGCCCGTCATGTGCTATCATCCAGAGAGTATTCTATTGCTTTGTACCAGCTGAATGAATCTCATAAATGTAATTACCA